GGAGACTCTTGGGCCCAGAGTCAGTGACATAGCCACAGAGGACTAGAGTGGAGAGTGAAGCATCCAGCTGATAAGAAGATAGGGTACATGCATAAGTACACCTACACTTGCAGATAATAGCCACCTGACCTGGTTCAATGGCTGGATGATCAGAGCTCAAACAGAAGAAGAAAGAAGAGGAAAAAAAGAATAATCTAATACAATTTGATGGACCTACACCTATGGAAGCAGTAGCTCAAAAGAGGGAACAAATCTTCACAGCAAGTGTCACTTCCACCCCTCCACACAAGGAGAGGGCAGGGATGGGCAACTTGGACATTGGCTACCCAGAATGGGGGGTTACAGAGGCAAGAATTGACTGGCTAACAAACTTTCAACAGGGAACCTAGATCCAGAGGGCGTGGAGCAAGGTAGAATCTCCACTGAGTAGTATTCAATCTGTCTAGGCGGGACCAAGGAAAGGAGATGCAGATAGATCTCTTGAACATAATGGTGAATAATTGTTATCAGGACTGATTGTGAGGGCTGAAAATGTAAAGGTAAACGTTTTGTAGCAAAGGAAGGGAAGGATTAATTTTGCAGTCTAGGGGCGGAGGTCTCTGGGACCATCAAGGTAGAAGAGCAGAGAATGGAACTCTACCCAGGGAAGTGGTAATGCCAGAGATGGAGGCAGAGATGATGAAATGGAAAAATGGAGTGGCTGGGGACTTTGCACCCCGAGAGGGAGAGGGCCTGTGTGCTGACGACCAGGCGGTAGGCTTGCGGGGTATACCCTGTGATTGGTGGATGATGCATGGAGGGGATTGTAACCATGGCAAGGAAACAATATACGATGGTATCAATAAGAAGCTAATGTTCTCCCATGTAAACTATCACTCAAGATAAAGCATCCTATATGCTTTGGAAAAAAAAAAAAAAAGTACCATAGACTGTCAAAAGAATGAGGAAATCTGTGTTGGAAGATGTACAACCAGGATTAGAAGCCTGTATGGCTAGACTTTGTCTCTCATACTTTGAAAACATTATCAGGAGGAACCAGTCCCTAGAAAAGAACACCATTCTTGTAATGTGGAGTGTCAGTGAAAAACAAGAAGGCCCCCAACGAGATGGGCTGGCACAGTGTCAGCAGCAATGGGCTCAAGTGTGGTAAAGATGTGAGGTTGCATAAGACCTGGCAGTGTTTTGTTCTGTTTTACATAAGGTCGTTATGAGCTAGTACCTAATTGATGGCACCTAACAACAACAACCCATCGTAAGAAGCCTTATTAGCCTAGTGGTTTACCAGCTAGGCTTCTACCCACAAGGTCATTAGTTCGAATATATCCACTGCTCCAAGGAAGACAGTGAGGCTTTATGTTCCTGTAAAGATGTGTAGCCTCAGAAACTCTTTACAGGGTTGCTATGAGTTAGAAGCAACTTGATGGCACCACCGTACCATACCCACTGTGGTTTAGGAAATAGAAAGCACAAGTACAAATTTCTCCTCAGACTGTGGTCTGCCATTCAGGAGCAATCGCAGTACCTGACCACTTGTCAGAAATGTAAAATCTGGGACCCTGCCTCACAGGGACTGAATCAGAATCTGCAGAATGTTGTACCCTACCCCATAGGTATTGAATCAGAATCTCTATTTTAACCTAGATCCCCAAGTGATGTACAGAGATTAAAGCTTGAGGAGCATGACTCTGAAAGACCAAACAGCCCAATTCTTCTTCAACAATAAGGCTAGTTAGCTGACTTTCATAAAGCTACACAGTTTATGCCGGCAGTGGATTTGTGGGAAGATTTTTGCTGTTGTTGATTTTCTGTGCGCATGAAGGTCCTTATGTCACAACTTCATTGTGAATTAGGTAAGTTAAGGAAGATCATTTCTGATGTGGGTAGACATCCATATATTTTATAACATTTTCTGGGTGATATAAGGAATAACTAATAAAATATTTAAGAAAACAGATGCAAAAGTTGATGGTTAAAGAGGGTAAGGTGCAGAAAGTTTTTTTGTTTTTCTATTTCCTTGCTTTCTTAGAGTAAGATATGAAGATTCAGACAGAAAGCAGAATAACATTGACTCCACATGAGGGTGGGCACCAGGAGTTAGAATTGACAAGATATGAACTGGTTTTTACTGGTTTATACTGGAAATAAAACAGCACTCATTACCTGCAAGATTTCTTAGCTCATTCAGTTCTCTTTCCAAACTGTCCATGGTTTGTTGGTCAGCAGTGTTGTCTAAGGAAGGCTCATTGTGGTCAGTAGCATCAATATATTCAATTTCTGAAATTTCAGAAACAGCTCTGGATAATGATCGAGCAGCTGCACTTCTTGGTCGCAGATGAGAGGAAGAAAGGCAGCTGGAACTTTTTGTAACAGAGTTGGAAAGTGGTAAATGTACTGTTGAAGGTCTCTCTGATGTTTGGCCTAAAATGCAGAGTACAATTTTTAAATTCTGAATGAGTGCTTCAATTACAAAATGTGTGCACCCTGCACTTAGAGCGGTAAAATTCATGTGATAGAGTTTACTAGAAAATCAAATTTTAGTTTAAAGTGAATTATCTATTTTTATTTATCCAAAATTTTAATCCTAAAATACTTTTTCTGTTATCATAAAGAACACTCTTGGGTTGTTTTCTCCAATTTTTTTCTGCATTCAGACAAAGACAAACTAATTTTAATACTAATTAACGCAAAATGTCTACTATGAATCAAGTCAACTCCAGGTCAAACCAATACTCAATCTTATAAGCAATCCTAAGACCAAGTGCTGTGCCACAGTTCATAAATTCTAGGGTGACACCATACTATACTTTGAATGAGAAAAAAACTCATACAATACACATGGTGTTACTTCCTAGAGTCACAATTCCAATTAATGGCATCTAACATATTAAATTAAAACAGATATGGGAGCTAAATAGATTAGTATTCAAAATCTGTTTGAATTTTTTTCTAAGTTTAAAGAAATTGAGATCACATGTTTAATTTTCCTAAATACAAGTTCACTACTTTCTGCCTTACATAGCACTTAAGTGGGAAAGTTCCAGAAGCTCTGATCTAAGTTACTACTCTGTCCCACTAGGACAGTCATCATTTAGTTGGTTTCTTCAGCATGTATGTTTCTTTCATAACAGAAAAAAAGAAAAAAAAAAGTCCCTTCAAATTTTATACTAACAAAATATAACTGATTTATAATTTGGCATTGCTCACAGAGGATACCTTAATTAAAGATTAAGAGAAATTTTTAAGGTCCAGATTCAGGAATTCACACCACAGATAAATTTTTAAATATACTTGAATTACTGTTCTAATTTATATAAATATATTTATATGTATACAATTCT